TACTCTAATAAACAAAGATTCCATGACTGGAAAGACACAATCTTGTAGGTCCCTTGGAGTCATATTAAATCCACTGCTCCTTGGAGCCAAAGCTACAACTGCGTTGAAACAGCCTCCTATATCAACCATTCCTCACCTTCCTCTTCAGTTTATATTCTCTTCCTGAGCCCTCTGTCTGATTTTACTACATAGTTTGTAATAAGTTGCTTAGGCCTAAGAAACTTACACTTCTAAGGAGTGTCTACTCTACTCAAGGCTATATTTATTCTACCCAAACCCGCTCCAGACAGTGTGGCAAGTGCCTAGAACTTACTAAAAAGCTGTGTAGACCTAACCCTAGTCAAGAAAGTCAAGAAGACTTTCTTTTTGTTCTTTTACCCAGAGCTCGAATTCTTTCAAGACAGAGAATGTATCAAGGACTGTCTACCCAAACCTGCTTAGCAGCATGAAGCCTCTATAATACTGCAGTACATAGAAGTCACAGAACCTATAATTGACAGCACTAGCTATTTTTCTCCCCAGTAACAATAATAATTAATAGAATTTATTCCAGCTTTTTCAATAACAGGAAACCCAAGACCAAAGCAAGTTTGTTGTTTCTACCAAAATTATCCATTAATTCTTTTTTCTTTTGTTTAGAAGATCAACAGAGTCAACTAATCTAGGTTCATGGGAGCTTACAGACACTGAAGCACCAAACAAAAAAGCACACATGGACTTGACCTAGGCCCCCTACACATATGTAGCTGATGGGCAGCTTGGTCTTATTGTGGGCCCCCTAGCAAGTGGAGTGGGGACTGTCTCTGACATGGACTCTGTTACCTGTTTTTGGATGACTTTCCTCTATCTGGGCTACCTTGTTGGGCCTCAGTGGAAGAGGATATGTGTAGTCCTGTTGAGACTTGATGAGCCAGGATGGGTGGTAGGGGTAGGGGCTCCCCTTTTCTGAGGAAAAGAGGAAGGGGAAGGGGAAAGAAGATAGGAGGGTGGAACCCACTAAAAAGGAAGGAGGAGGCTGCAATCAGGGTATAAAGTGAATGAATAAATAAATAAATAAATAAGAATGAGTGAACCCAATTTGCCACAAAAAAAAAGTTGAATTAAATCTTAACATGGCTCCAGATTTAGCTCAGTCCATCGACATTTAATCCATAATAATTGGGAGCTATATATTACTTATTAGGTTTTCTAAATAAAATTAAATATGGCATAAAGTTTTACCAGAAACTGCAGTTTTATAAGAAACCTAATCATCTAGCATCAAAATATATGATAATTAGAAAAGAAATATTCTTTCTATATTTTATGGTCATGTGTAGCGGGGCTCTCAAAATAGACTCTTGAATGCCTGGGTTTCTATTTTAAAACCCTCAACAGATAAGAGCTAGCTCCTCTATTGAGAAAAGCTCAAAACTCAACTGTGTGTCAGAATTTGTCACAGAGTATAAACGTTTAGGTATAATATAAATAACAGGAAGAACAGGGATGTCAAACTGGAAGCGAGAAGAGAGTGCAGAGTGCAGCTCTCAGTCACATCACCTGAGGTTCTGCAGGGGGCAGGCCTGCTGCTTTACATTGAGTTTTCCACAAATCTCACTCTAAATGACAATGAAGCATAACGATGCCCACCCTTTAATGCCCTGGATTCTGGAAAGATGATTCTGACTCACGCACTATTCTAAGAACTTAGGAACTGTGGGAAATGAGAGAAGAATGGATAAAGATGACAAGTCATAAAAATAGATCTTTATTAGATCAGTCTTTGCTCAGTGAAGTCTGTCATTGTGAAGTGATTGGTACAAAAAGCCATTTCTGTGTTTATAAAACCAGCTATGTTCTTGTAGAAAAACATCTCTCTTTCTCTGTCTGTCTCTCTCTCTGAAACCAAGTAAATTATGTGTATTAGAAGGAGGATATGGGTGTCAATCTGTTTAGTGTGGAAATCTGTTAATCTGTTTAGGTTGGTTAAAATGACAAACCATACCTTGCTCACAAGTCTTTAGAAATATATCACTCACACTTTAAACTTGAACACAGGTTCATTAGCCTTTGTGTTTTCAGTGTCTTGACAGCCATGATGGTAGTATATCCCATCAGCTGTTACAGATACTCAGCAGAGGAGAGAGATTACCACCAGTTTCTTTCTCTGTCCAAAAGGGTTTTTAGTTTTTGGTGCAATAGTTACCCCTATGTGAGGAAGCTAAGATAACACCCACTTCACACTCTCATGCTAAGTGGATACTTATTTCTCTCCTATGGAGAATCTGAGGCAGTGAGTTTGAGGAGAGAAGGGAAACCCCATTAGCTATGTACAGTTCTTATTTTGAACATTAACATCATTTTAACATTATTTTCTTCTTATTTATGTGTATGTGGGTCTGTCACTGTGAGTGTCTACCACATGTATGCCGGAGCCTGTGGAGGTCAGAAGAGGGTGTCAGATTTTCTGAGGCTGGAGTTACAGGTGGCTGTAAGCTGCTGCATGTGGGTGCTGGAAACCAAACTCAGGTTCTCTGGATGATCAGCAAGCCCTTGTAATAGCTAAGCCACCTCTCCAGCCCTCAACATTAACTTAAAAACACAAATTGCTTGTCCTATACTTATACTTTACTATTAAAAATACTCTTGAAAGAAGAAAAGTAAATATCCAATACAAATAACTGCACAAAAAGGAATAAAGCAGAATCAATAGGAGAAAAGCAAATATACTGGACCTTGAGTCAGCCTCGGTACAAACTGACTATGCAGCGAGAATCCAAAGAGAAGAAGGAACAAGGAAGGTCAAAACTCACTTCATAATAAGTGCTTCATTTCTTAAGTCTATACAGAACTTCAGGTATCTCACCTGTTCATCTATCTTCCTGAACATAAATTTGTATCTTCAAGTGATGTAAAGCTCAGTGTTCATAAAAAGAAGGTGTGAGCACATACAGCTTCCTGGTGTGAATGCTCTCACAGGAAGTCCAATGCTACATGTCAGAACAGCCCACTGAGTACGCGTCTAACATGGGCCCAATGCTATAATGGATGTATGTAGCAATGGTATCAAAGCATCACCCCATGACTGCATTTAAATTACTTAGAAGTATGATTAACCTTCTATAAATGTCTTCATTTTTATCATTTTTATCAGGATTCTGACAGACTCTTTATGCCAGACACAATAATTTTATCCACGCCTGGAAAAACATCTGGGCTCTACTATTTACAATTAAAGACATGCAGTTTAAGTTGTTGTTTTGGTAAACAATAGACTGAGATACCAACGAAGGTGAAGTTCAGGCCTCTACGCAGCACCCAGCATCTTCCTTATGCTTGGGTAAAGACTCAGAGTTCCTAACTGCAGACTAGTACAACCATGAAAGGTTCTAAGGGAAGTGAATAGCATCCATTGCCAGTTGCACTTAGGAAAGTTAAAAAAAAAATAGTGCAGCCATGCAATAGAACAAGAAAGAAGACCTGAAAACACATCACCCCTTTGCTGAGCTGACTCATTCTGAAAAGAAGGCTTTAATACTCACTCGTTACATGAGTATAATCCAAATCACACAAAACATCTTCCCAAGAAAAATATTCGATGCTATTGTTAATTAATGTTTTGGAAAAGAAAACTCAGTGTTTCTTCTAGTTGTTCTCCTTTTTTTTTTTTTTCCATACTGAAAACAAGCAGACAGTACACAGGAAATTATTTTCTTGTTCCTATTTTAAGAAAACAAAACACCCAAACAATCTAAAGTGGTTGTTAAGCAATCAAGATATATATATATTTATGGGAAATGAAAACGAGAGATCAAGAGCCCACCCTTGCAGTTGTCTATAGACTCTCACAGAATCTGGACGCCCATTAATCCTATATCTTGCAAGTACTCCTACTATTTGATTTTTTTCCGTATTTTTCTACCATAGCTCCAGTACCTAAAACACATTATAAACCAATTTCTGATGAAACTGTACAAGTTTTGGAAAGTAGTGGATGACACTCAAACGCCAGCTTCTCGGATTTATTCTCTAGAGATTTATTGAGAATAAATCTCGGATCAGTAGAGGGGAACTAGTCTAAGAAGTGGGGAAACCCTACTTTGATTAGAAAAGTGAGCTAGGAGATTCTGCAGAGCACAGCAGGAGAGTCCAGACTCTGCTCCAGAGCACTATCCCCACCCTTAAACACCTTCCTCCATGTGACAATTTGCCGATGGGATGAGGGTCAGAACTATGGCTTAGAACAAAGATAGAGAATCTCAGGAACTCTGCATTACACTCTCAGTAAGAGTATTTTAGAGACAAAGAAAGAGAGAAAAGATAGGGGGCAGAAATGGAATGTCTACAAAATAATGAGTGACTTTCCTCCCCCATTCTCTCCAATAGAAGAGTCATCCAGACAAAAACACCACCACCAACAGCAACAACAAACACACAAAAACATCTGAACTAAATGTCACCATAGATCAAGTAGACTTGATAGACATCTATATAATGTCTGCACATTATTAGAGCAAAATGCAAACGAATGCTGATTCTTCTTAGTCCATGGAGCTGTCTTTAAAATTGAGGACATTTCTGAAACAAAACAACTCTTAGGAAATACAAGAAAATTGAAAGAGTTTTGTGTGTTCTACCTGATCACAATGGAACTAGAAGTCAACAGCAAGAGAAACTACAGATATACATAACTCATGGAGATTGAACAAAGCACTATTGAATGATGAATGGATAACTGAAAACTTAGAAGTGAGTTTTTCTAATATAATTTTTTATTTGTTACAGCTTTGTATCCCAGCTGTAGCCCCCTCCCTCATTCCCTCCCAATCCCACTGTCCCTCCCTCATCTCCTCCCAAGCCCCTCTCCAAGTCCACTGATAGGGGAGGACCTTCTCCCCTTCCATCTGACCCTAGCCTATCAGGTCTCATCAGAACTGTCTTTCATAGTCTCCCTCTGTGGCCTGGTCAGGCTGCTCCCCTCTCAGGGGGAGGTGATCAAAGAGCCAGCACTGAGTTTTAAAAGTGTTCCTAGAGGCCTTGCAGATGTGACTAAGGTGTCAGTCACATCAGTAGGTGGCAGCAAGCAGAGAGGCTGTTATCTTTGTTCAGTGCACTGACCTATGAACTTCTGAATGATTAGAAGCCTAACATTCCCAGCAAAAAGCAAGCCTCAGATGATCTTTCTCCAGGCAGGCTCCTGATTGATTATCTTTGCCGATGAAATAAAACAATTCAAGTCAGATTAAAAGTGAAAAAAGAGCAGAGGAAGTAGCGCCCAGACGGACAATGGCCAGAAGGGTTTTTAGGGACCATTACGGTGGAGAACTCAAGACTGTTCCTAGAGAAGATGCAGGAGGCAGAGAGTAAAAAAGAAAAGTAGGCAAATGAGAATGAGGGGTTCTATTGTTGGGACAAGCCATTGAAACAGGGAAGACTGCCACCAATGGAGGGGGATAGGGTGCCCTAGTTTGGCCATCCCTGCCCCTCATTTGGGCTTTCTAGAGAACCAGAGTGTAGAATGTCCCAGTTGTTGTACAGACTACTCATATAGGGTAGGTCCCCTCTTGAGCCCGGGGAGATGGTACCAGCATTGATGTCCCAGGAAGATTAAGGGGTGCTGAGGATCATAGTGTAGAGTTCTTTCCACCAGGACCCTAGAGAATTAGGAGATAATTGCTTAAGTTCTCAAGCAGTCCCTGAAGGAGAGTGGGGCAGACTCAGGAGCAGTTGGGTCCTCTGGCATGGGGACAGATAGGTACCATGCAAGGTGGCAGTCAGCATGCAAAGGGAGAAGGGACCATAGGAAGGAGACGAAGGATAGGTACCCAGCTATGGGTGGGTCTGGGCCAGGAGGTGACTGAGGAGGAAAAGCCTCCTGTGCCTCAGAGGCAAGTAAGGGCAATGGGAAGGAGATAGATCCAATATAATCTGAGCTCAAGAGCGATCTTAGTGACTACTGTTTGATGAGTCTGTTGGCTCTCCCAAATTTTCCTAAGGATTGTGGGTAGTAGGTGATGTAGAGTTTCCAGGAGATGTTGAAAGCTTCAGGCACGAGCTCAATGACCCTGGGAGTGAAGGCTGGACCCTTGTCTGTTTGGATAGTCTGCGGCACACCAAACCTAGGAATTATGTGTTCAAGGAGCACCTGAGCCACCATGTCCGCCATTTCCTTGGAGGTGGGAAATGACTCCATCCATCGTGCATCAACAAGGGATAGGAGACAGCGGAGCTTTATGAATGGACATGTGGGTGAAGTCTATTTGCCAGTCTTCACCTGGCTGGTGTCCTTGGAGCTGGTGCAAAGACTGAAGTATCAGGATTATCTCCCTGTAGGTTGGTCTTAGCATATGTCTGACAGAAATCCTGGACTTGTAAAATGTGAGCTCAGATCTCAGTGGCATCTTAAAGAGGTTCTAGGAACTGGAGTAGGACTTTGGAGCCTATGTGTATGCTCTGGTGGATATCAGAGAAGATGGAAGGCACCTGCCCCTGGGAAAGAATAAGGCACTTATTTAGAAAAGCCATCTTTTTTCTTTTTACTTTTTTTTTTTTTTTGCCTGTGCATTCCCTTTTCCAAGGAACTTGGTTTTGTTTGTTTGTTTTTCATCTAGTTGGTACTAAGGTTTTTAGGAGGATGTCAGGGAGAGGATGTGTCCCATGGATCTGGAGGAGCTGAAAACCAAAACCTGGGCTACTGAGTCATCTCTGGCATTGCCCAAATCCATGGGGTCTGTGGAGGTCTGGTACCCCTGGAAGTGAATTACAGCCACCTCTGCTAGGAGTTGGAGAGCCTCTAAAAGTTTGTGGGTAAGGGGGTCATTGACCACAGGTGTGCCCTTTGTGGTGAAGAAATTCCCATTCCTTCCAAAGGACAGTGTATATGAGCTATTAAAATGCATATTTAAAATCAGTATATATGTTAGCTGGTTGGTCCTTGGCTATTTGGTATTCCCTAGTTAAAAGGATTGACTCAGTCTTCTGTTTCCAGTGGAGGTGACTACAGCATAGGCTGTCATTTCCCAATCTGTCTAGGAGAGAGCTCCCATCCACAAAGAGAGTGAGTTGGGGGAAGGGTTGTCTGTGAAGGATTCTTCTAGAAGGCTGGGCTGGGGTAAGCATAGTGCCTTCACAGCCTCTGGGCGGGAGTGAGAGGAGCTATTACAGGGGTATGGATGGGGAGGAGGGTTGCAGAATTTAGGGCAGGACTGGAGGTCAGGGTAATTTGAGGGTTCTCTAGAAACAGAAGATGACAAACTTGGACCCATGAGTGCCCAAGGAGGGAAAGGAAAGAGAGGAATGACTCAGAAGGTCTCAGAGACAATGAGTGGAATATACCGTGACTGGCTGGAACAGGGTGATCCTGAGGGCTTCCTCAAACAGTTCTGCTGCCTCTGCCAGGGCTCTCAGTCATGGCTGCCACCCACATATGGTGGGATCTAGTTGTGTAGACAAGGAAGGAGGGCCCAACTTGTTGAAGGGCCCAACAAGTTGAGCTAAAATATCTATGGCCACTCTCATCCTCTTGTCTGTAAAGAGGTGGTAGGGGTGGGTGAAGTCCAGGGGCCAGGACCGGGGCAGCTAAGAGGACATCCTGCAGTGAAAAGACGTGACAGCAGACCGTGGCCAGGTAGGAGAGGAGCCTCATGTTGGTCTCTCTGGCATCCTGGTACAGTGGATTAGCTGTAATAGCAAAGTTGGGAATCCAGTGTTTGAAGAATCCAACCAGGCCCCAAACTGAAAAGAGTTTGGTTCCCTGTGGTTAGAGGCTGCCTGTCCAGCAAGGCTCAGACTAGATCAGAAGTAAGGGTCTTAGGCCCAGAACAGAAGAAGAACACACCCAAGCTTTAGAGGGAGAGACACCTAACCCAGGGAACTAAGATAGCTTAGGAGTGAAGCAGTGTTTTATTGGGATAGAGACTGGGAAAGGCTGCGAAATAAAATGTCATCTACATAAAAAAGTTTAAAAAAAAAAAGTGTGCTAGGTTTAAGGTCTAAAGAAAAGAGAACCCCAGCCAAAGCTCCCCTCCCCCCCCCAAAAAAAAGTGAGGGCTACCCTGGAAACCCTGTCCACATGAGCTGTTTTGTAGTTTTTGTATCAGGGTCCTTCCAGGTGAAGGCAAAGAGAAAATATATGTCAGGGTGTATGAGATGGTAAAGAAGGCATCGTTTAGGTCCAGGACAGTAAAGTGGGAGGCTGTAGGAGGAACATTAAGGAGGAGAGTGTAAGGGTTAATAACTATCGAGTAGGTCGGGATAACTGCCTTGTTAATGAGGCATAGGTCCTATACTAAGCAATAGGCCCCAGAGGGAGAATGGCAGTGTTTGCAAAGTGAATCAATTGGTAGGAATTAGGAGTCCCTGAGATAGAAGGCTAGAAATGATAGGCTTGTGACCCCGAGGCAGTGGGTCTCAGAGATGGGAAACTGGGGCCTGGAGGGGAAAGAAGTGGAGTCTTTAAGGCAGATAGATAGATGAAAAAAGAGGAGCGGTCCAATGTGTCAGGCTTGACCTGCAGAACTGGGCAGCAGGGTGGGGGTGGGGGAAGCTCAACTCCCCCGAGTCAAAGGCACCAGATGATAAGCCTTATTCTTTGGGAGTGAAATGAGCTAATTCGAGACACGTTTAAGTATTCAAATGCCAGTGTGCACACACACATACACACAGACACAGAGAAGGGGAGGTAATATGCTGCTCCTTATTCATTTTTTAACAAAAGGCTGGACTGTTGTACTTCAGACCTGGACAAGCAGTTGAGGTGCCTTTTTAACCAAAGCCCAAAGCAGACCTGACCTCCAGGTTCTCCCTTCAGTATCTGTATAGGTCATGGCTGGCATAGCCTGCCCTCTACCCTGAACTTTCCAATCCAGGTACTGGGCTTCACTATATAATCCAGATCTCTCTCTCTCTCTCTCTCTCTCTCTCTCTCTCTCTCTCTCACTCTCTCCATGCACATTTCTCTGGCGAATTTGATGGTCCCATTCTTCGGGCCAGTGAACCCACCAAGAGCTGCTTCCAAAAAACAATAAACCTGCATTTAAATACTTTAATGTGTCTTGAATCCGCTTATTTCACACCCCAAAATTAAGTCTTATCATCTCTCAAGATGGAAAGCAAGCTGGAAACTAGAAGAAACATGCCTAGGACCATGGGGCCCAGGCAGGAGTGAGTCTGAATCTGACATAGCAAGGGACCACATGGATCAGGTAGGCCAAGAAAAAAGAGAGCTTGGGAAGACCACCAGACCAGATCCATGTGGCCCAGAGAACTAGCCTGACAGTCCAGAACCACACAGGCCTGGGGAGGATGAGGGGAGGCAGACTAAGCCTGGGATGACCATGCTCAGGGACATAATGAGATGAGCAGGAAAGTTGGCCTCAATTGGGTCATGAGAGCAGGAGAGCTATCCCTGCCCCTCACATGCTGTAGCATTAGAGCGTCGGGCCTTGTACCTCACCTGGACAGCACAGTAGAACTGACCCAGATGGCAGGGGTGTAGGCATAAGTTTATTGTGTAATTCAAATGCTGCTTTATATACCCCCCCAGCCATATCTAGTTGCAATCCTTACTCTGAGAATCTCCTGTCTCGTTGTTATCTTAACACTGCTCCCAGATTGTCCCCAGATAGGCCAACAAAACAGTTTACAGCCAATCAATGATCAGGAGAGAAAATTGGGCTGGACTTCCTGCTTGCCCGAGGGAAAAAAGGAGTTAGAGAAGGAAATAGGGGATTCAGGCACGGGCAGAAGTCTTGGAGAGAGGAAGAAGATTCAGCTGGAGCAGAGAGTTACATAAAGTACAAATATCTCGGGATTTACTCTGAAAGGAAACCAGACTAGCTTAGAGAGTTAAGAAAATAGTTAAAACTCCTCAGGATTGTGCTGTGAAGCAAAATAATATAACAGAGTCTGAATTATTTGAGTGATAGCCAGGGTAAGAGAGAAACAGAGAAACAAACACAACAATTTTATAAAAATAACACTAACATGTGGGCACAGGTGAGCCAGGCCCAGGGATGTGAGCATGAGAGAGCTGGCTGAACAACGTGGCAGCATAGAGATGGGAGAGATGATGCCTTCTCCCAACCTCCTCGTCCTTGCCATCTAAAGCAGACAGACAGGAGAGCTGGCCCTGTCCTCACTGCTGCAGCACTT